GGACAGAAAATTCTGGGGATGGAGGTATGTATGGGAGGGAGGGAGGGGGGCAAAAAAAATCAATAAAATAAATAAATAAATAAATTCATTTAGGTGTAAAAAATAAATAAATAATAATAAAAAAAGATCACTCAGGATTGATAGACTCCCTGAGGCTTTTAAGGGAGCACTGGGAGGAGGTTAAAACAAGGTTTTCTTCCTGAAGCCCAGCCCTGAAAAACAATGGCAGTGATGATCCTGAGGCCTGAGGATTCCATTATTTCCATCTGAGGTTCCTCTAGAGCAGCGGTTTTCAACCTTTTTCATCTATGGCTGACACAACTAAATTACTAAAATTCTGCAGCACACCAATATACACTAAGTGGCCAGATTATTATGATCTCTGAGTGCATAATAATCTGGCCTCTCAGTGTGTGTGTGTGTGTGTGGTTTTTTTTAGAGGCCTGGTGCATGAATTTGTGCAGGGGTGGGGTCCGGCCAGCCTGGCCAGGGGGAGGGGACATGGCGGTTGGATGGCCTGCCTGTTGATCAAACTCCTGGTCGAGGGGACAACTTTCATATATTAGCCTTTTATTATATAGGTTATACACTGAGTGGCCAGATTATTATGCCTTCAGAAATCATCATAATCTGACCACTCAGTGTATATGTATTTTTTGTTGATCTAACAAAAATAGTTTCGATTTTGATTTATTTATAAAATAATAATAGTAATTCCTATCCTTTTTGCTCCAAAATGACATTTTAAAATATCAGGTGCCTATACTTGTATACAACAATTTCCGGTATCAAGAATTAACCAATCAGAAGCAACCTTATTCTGCAATGTGTCTAATAAGATGCAAGTCTGCTATAGGATCTATATATAATATTTATGATTCAAGACGGCATTCACAGCTATTTTTGTATTGGCTGTGATTATTATTATTCTTATTTACAATCTAAGGGGAAAAAGGTCTACATATTCAGGTATTGCATGTTTTAAAACTTCTTTAGGCACACCAGTTGAAAATCACTGCTGTAGGGTAAGGCCCTTCCTATAGAGAGAGTCAGAGAGGAGCAGGGACCCAAGTACAAAGCCTTGGGTAGAGCTTTGTAACAGTAACCCCGATTCAAAACCTGCTTGTTCTAGTTACCAGCATTTAACCTGAGGCAGATCACCCAGCCACAGAGTTTCAATGTGATCACAGATAGTATTTGCCTCCTGGATTGGTGGAGAAATAATGAGAACTATAAAATGCTTAACACGCTTCCTTACCAGAACTTGCTTAACAAATAGTTGCCCTGCTTATTGTGATTTTTATGGTACAGCAAGATTGAGATCAAGAAGGTAGCATATTGATGTAATTTAAGAATGTGGGATCTGGAATGAGACTCTCTGGGTTCAAACCCTATTTCTATTACTCACCAGTGTTGTCACCCTGGACAAATAACTTCTCTGTTCTTCAGTTCCCTTATGTGTAAAATGGGGATAAAAATAGTACCCACTCATGGAGTTATTGGGAGGACTGAGTAGGGTGACTAGTTCTCCTGTTAGGAAGCACCGTTAAGAGTATGTCTGTTACTTTCAGTGAACAGTTGACCCCACACTAATAAGAATGACCATGGATACTGTCATTTAGTGAAACATTATCATTATATAGGGCACTAGCCTTAGACCATCAATTACACTCTACTGATTTCTAAGCTACTTTGAAACTTCTGTTGTAAACGAAGCCTTTCTAGCCAAGGCTTTAAAGGCAAGCATGCCAAACTCGTGGCCTGCGGGCCGCATGTGGCCCACAGCGAATATTTTTGCTGCCCAGCCAATATAACAGTATGTAATAAATATTTTAATGGAAGTTTTGTAACTTAATTTCTACAGTATCTTGTTATACATAATTATTAATAACAAACCACAGTGTTCACTAATGACTGTTTATTACACTCCTGTTGCATTCATTTCCCTTACGTGCCTTACGTGCAGGCTTACCATTTCTCTCCACTAATACTAACAGTGAATATTTTAGCAGCCGATTGCCATGTCAATAGTCTCGTACTGATTTGTTTGGTGTGCGCAACAGGAAATATTTCACTTTCAGAGAACAAGAAAAATAGGTTTATTTTCAGTATGCTTATTAATTTGTGCAGTTATTCAGTGTCTGATAAGTTAATGGTCATGAAAATATTTACATTTTTATTAAATTGTTCTATTATTTTATGTTAATGATTACTCATTTATTTCAGTCCTTTATATTCATCATGTCTCTATTGAGATAAACATATATTTCTATGAAAATTGAAGCTTTTGTTTTTTTGCAGCCCACGTAAACTTAAACCGTGTTTATTTAGCCATGTCAGTCTTTGAGTTTGACATGCTTGCTTTAAGGTAATCTGTTATCTTAAGCCTCCTGAAAGGGAATAGCTATGTGTTTTGCGGGGGGGGGGAGAAAAAGAAATCAGTCTTTTCCTTATGGCAGAGACAATGCATGTTCATCATAGGAAATTTGGAAAGCACATAGAAGCAAAGGTATGAAAAATCATCCATAATCCCACAAGACAGAGATAACGACTGTGCACTTTGCTGCCTAGCCTTGTAGCCTTTTTAAACAAGTTGTTTACGCATATATTTTTAAATTTTTATAATTCTTTATTGTTGAAAATATAATTTTTAATTTTTATTGATTGAGGTAGCACAGGTTAATAAAATTGTTCATGCATATTTTTTTGTTGTTGTTAATCCTCACCCAAAGATATTTTTCCTTTTTTTGTTTGTTTGTTTTTGTTTTGAGAAAGAAAGTCGAAAGGTGGGGGGGAGAGAGAGAGAAACATCTATGTGAAAGAAACATATTGATTGGTTGCCTCCCACATGCACCTGGGCTGGGGATTAAACTGAAATCTTGACTGGAATTGAACCTGGGACCCTTTTGTCTAGGGGCTAATGCTCTCTCTACTGAGCCAAACTGGCTAGAGCTGTTTATGCATATTTTTATATATATATTTTTAATATATTTTATTGATTTTTCACAGAGAGGAGGAGAGAGGGATCGAGAGTTAGAAACATCGATGAGAGAAAAACATCGACCAGCTGCCTCCTGCACACCCCCTCCTGGGGATGTGCCAACAACCAAGGTACATGCCCTTGACCGGAATTGAACCTAGGACCTTTCAGTCCGCAGGCCGACGCTCTAGCCACCGAGCCAAACCGGTTTCGGCTATGCATATTTTTAAAGAAACCCTAGTATATATCTCTTTTGTAACCTTCACTTAATGGGATTATAAACATCTTTCCATGTCATTGCAAATTTTTTATACCATCATGTTTAATGATTCCATAGTGGTTCATTTTATGTAGAGAATGAAAACAATATTAATAAAATTAATGTATTTTAGGCCCGGGCCGGTGTTCTCTGTGGTTAGAACATCAGCCCTTGTACCAAAGGATCTTGGGTTTAATTCCCGGTCAAGGGCACATACCTGGATTGCAGGTTTGATTCCTGGCCCTGTTGGGGTGCATGCGGGAGGCAACCAATAGATGTATCTTTCTCACATATGGTAGATGCTTCTCTCTCCTTTTCTCTCTCGCTTCCCCTCCCTCCCTTCCACTCTCTCTCTAAAAAAAAAAAAAAAAAAAAAAAAAAAAAAAATCAATGGAGAAAATATCCTTGGGTGAGGAGTAACAATAAATAAATAAAGAAATAAATGTTAATTTGACAAAGAAACACGTCTTGAAGATAGTACATAAAGAAGGGTGTTATAAAAATAGTGCTGGGAATCTACTCGCCTTAGGGCACACCCGTACCCCTCCTTTTCTTGGAAATTAACTTTTATTCTCTTTTTCCTAAACTCTAAGGATCCCCACAAGACTTGCAACCAGGGGAGCAGCGGCAGCTCATCCTGGGCCAACCCCCTGAACCTGTCTCCAAGGCCCCCTTTTCTCTGACTTTTCAATAAGCTAAAAGCAGTCCTGCCTTGGCCCACTTCTGTCACGTGACTTTTACTTTTAAATGAGTCCAGGAAGCATGGTGTGGCTCACTTCTTATAAAGTTTCTAGAGAGCCAAAGCAGCACCATCTGAGCTCTCTTCTGTTGCTTCTTCTATCCTAAGTTCTCCCTTTATTTCACTGTCCCAGCTTTGATAAATGTACGCTTAAAAAAAAAAAGTGATGGGGTTTTAGAACATCCGAAAGGATAGGCTTCCCACTCTGAATAGCTTAAGCAATAACTGTAGGCATAATCAATTGGTAACTTAAATAGGACATGATGTTAATAGACTTGATCCCTTTATTCATCTTTGGGCTGAAGTGTTTTTTTGTTTTTTATTGTTGAAAGTATTACATATGCCTCCTTCCCCCCCTCCCCCAATTGACCTCTCCCAGTTGCTCCTCGCTCCCAGCTCCCAGCGCAGGCCCTCACCCCCCTACTGTCTGTGTCCATTGGTTATGCTGCTTTTTTTTTGCTTTTTTAAAATATATTTTATTGATTTTACACAGGAATTGAGAGGGACAAAGAGTTAGAAACGTCGATGAGAGAGAAACATCAACCAGCTGCCTCTTGCACACTCCCCACTGGGGATGTGCCTGCAACCAAGGCACATGCCCTTGACTGGAATTGAACCCAGGACCCTTCAGTCCACAGGCCAGCGCTCTATCCACTGAGCCAAACCGGTCCCGGCTGGTTATGCTTCTATGCATGCATACAAATCCTTTGTTGATCTCTTACTCCCCGCCCCCCTTTGGGCTGAAGTTTTATAAAATCTTTATGGGTCTGGAATTGTTAAAATAAATATACCTGTGCTATTTCAGGTTGCTAAAGGTAAATGGTTTTGACTTCCTTGTTTTCTTTCATTGGTATTCAAGCCAAGAGGCTCTCTGTGAGTTTCCAAAGCACCTTGTATATCAGGGGATATTTGACAGGTGATTTATTTGAAAAGTTAGAGAAAGTTTCTTGATTTGGGGGCCCTCCAAATCTAATTCTGATTGATGAGGCTGGATTATTCCATACATTTATTTCTTTTTACAGGTAGTGCCTTCCTCAGTGCTATTTTTCTTGCCTTAGCGACATACCAGTCTCTGTACCCACTCACCTTGTTTGTCCCAGGACTCCTTTATCTCCTCCAGGTAAGCACTCGCTGGTCAGAAGCCAGTACTCAAGTGACATTTGATACATAGCCTGTCTCTGCTTGGGGGAAAGGAGGGCATGGCTTATCATGGCTTAATTCACACTTACTTTCTTCTGCTTACAAATCCATTGTTTAAAGAGAAACATTTCTTTGAAGTGTAGAGGGGACAGTGTTTGGATTCAAACCAAGAAATGTCTAATTTCAGAGCCATTGTTCTTAAGTATAAGCACTGTTGCTAAAACCAAATATATATCCCCATTTATTGGAATAGGCTATATGCTTATCATTTTAACTGACTTTTTAATATATCTTTGTGTTGATGTCATGATGATACATGGTTAGCTTGGTCTTCTACTTGATTATTTTGAAATGTGACCTAGTGTCACTAATAAAAATAGTGTAGAAATCTGGTTTTCTTTATTTCCTTAAAGCATGTTTCTCCAGCTGAATCATTGGAACCAAAGGTGAGAGAAGTTGAATAGTTCTTATTATGCAAGCCCAGATTGTTCTCCTGAAATCCTGGGCCTATTTGCAGTGTCACCATAGGTGTCTGAAGTGAAATGAACCACTTCCTCGCAGGGTGCCATTGGCTTTTTGTTGTTGTTAATCCTTGCCTGAGGATATTTTGTCAATTTTTTAGAGAGAATGGAAGGGAGGGGAGAAAGAGAAAGAGAGAGAGAGAAACATTGATTGGTTGCCTTCCTCATGCATCAGAGAGAGAGAGAGAGAGAGAAAGAGAGAGAGAGAGAGAGAAACATTGATTGGTTGCCTTCTTCATGCACCTGATTAGGGCCAGGGTTGAGCCTGCAACTGAGGTATGTGCCCTTGACCAGAATTGAACCCAGGATCCTTCAGTCCATGGGCTGACATGCTAATCACTGAACAAAACTGGCCAGGGCAGCCATTGGCTTTTTAAATTTGACTTATGATTGCTAGTTTAATAGATATAACACCATACTATGAAATTATTTTGCTTTGAGTTTCTTTCTAGATTCTTCTTGAATCCAAGCATTTTTCCACATAACAATAGTTGTTGTTTGTATTGTCTTTCTTACTTCATATTTACAGTTTATTCTTTTTTAAAAAATATATATTTTATTGATTTTTTTAGAGAGGAAGGGAGAGAGATAGAGAGCTAGAAACGTCGATGAGAGACGTTTGCCTCTTGCACACCCCCTACCGGGGATGTGCCCACAACCAATGTACATGCCCTTGACCGGAATCGAACCTGGGATCTTTCAGTCTGCAGACCAACGCTCTACCACTGAGCCAAACCAGCTTCAGCACAGTTTATTCTTTTTAATATATATATATTTTATTCATTTTTTACAGAGAGGAAGGGAGAGAAATAGAGAGTTAGAAACATCGATGAGAGAGATATCCTATATAATAAAGAGGTAATATGCAAATTGACCATCACTCTAACACAAGATGGCCACCCTCATATGGTCAAAGATGGCTGCCCCCATGTGGACACAAGATGACCTCCACAAGATGGCCATCAGGGGAGGGCAGTTGGAGGCAACAAGGCCTGCAGGGGAGGGCAGTTAGGGGTGACCGGGCTGTCAAGGGAGTGCAGTTAGGGGTGGCTGGGCCAGCAGGGGAGGACAATTGGGAGTGACCAAGTCTGCAGGGGAGGACAGTTAGGGGCAACCAGGCCTGCAGGGGAAGGCAGTTAGGGGTGACCAGGTTGATAGGTGAGGGCAGTTAGGGACAATCAGGCTGGCAGGGGAGGGCAATTAGGCATCTATCAGGCTGGCAAGGGGTTAGGGGTGATCAGCTAGTAAGCAGAAGCGGTTAGGGGCAATCAGGTAGGCAGACATGCAAGCGGTTGGAAGCCAGCAGTCCTGGATTGTGAGAGGGATGTCTGACTGCCTATTTAGGCCCAATCCCGAGGAGTCCCAGGTTGGGCTGAGGGACACTCCCTCACTGAGCACAAATTTTGTGCACCGGGCCTCTACTTAGATGATAATAGGGAATGGTAATTTTTTGGATATGATAATAGTGTTATGGTTCATAGGCAAATCTTACTTTTTAAATATTTTTTTTTTTATAAAACCACCTATTTTAATTGATTTTAGAGAGGAAAGGAAAGGGAGAGATAGAAATATCAATGATGAGAGAGAATTATTGATTGGCTGCATGCTCCACACTGGGGATAGAGCCCACAACCCAGACATGTGCTCTGACCAGGAATCAAACTGTGACCTTTTGGTTCATAGGTCGACACTCAATCACTGAGCCAGCTGGGTGGAATCTCCTTACTTTTAGGAGCTGCATGCAGAAGTGTTTTTGGGAGAGGTATCATGATATGTAGAAAATTTATGCACAGGGAAATATTTATACACACAGATAAAAAGTATGGCAAGGTGTTAATATTTAATCTCAGTGACAGATATATAGTTGATTAGCATATTCTTTCAACTTTTTTTGTGTGTTTGAAAATTTTATAGTAAAAAAGAGGGAGATAGAATATAAGCTCTGAAGTTATCCTGGCTTGGATGTATATTAGCTTTGTGATCTTGGGAAAGTAACTACTTCTCTATGCCTTGTTTACTCACCTATAAACTAGGGTTAATATAATAGTAGCTACTGAAAACGGTTAATGCATGTCAAATAGATAGAACAGAGTATGGTAAGATTTCAGTAGATATCAGTTATGGTTATTATTTGATTTGTTGATTAGTGCTCAAATGTTCATAGAAAGGACAGGGTCACCAGCTTGAAGATACCTGGAGTGATGAGGGGAAAAGAAAATATTTCATTTTCGCCGAGACTGGTTTGGCTCAATGGATAGAGTGTCGGCTTGGGGACTGAAGGGACCCAGGTTCGATTCCGGTCAAGGGCATGTACCTTGGTTGTGGGCATATCCCCAGTGGGGGGTGTGCAAGAGGCAGCTGATCGATGACTCTCTCTCATCGATGTTTCTAGCTCTATCTCTCTCCCTTCCTCTCTGTACAAAAACAATAAAATATACTTTTTTAAAAAGAAAAAGAAAAGAAAATATTTCATTTTCTATGGTTAGAGGAACTGTGAAAGTTAGTTTGTACTTAACTTCTTTGACACTACAAACTTGCCTCCATTCTGCTGGTGGAATTTTGAGAGGGCAGGAGGTGGACAAGTGAGTGTCCAGCCAGGGTCAGAGGTAAAGCTGTTTTTCTCTTTCCCATGTGAGACACAGGGAGGCTTCAGCATCAAGGCGGGGCGTGCTCCATCTGGCTCACTAGAGAGTCACTTATGAGGATGGTAGTTTGAGCCCTCTGGTCTCCTCCCCCATCTTCACTCTTCCTCTGACCTTGGCTTAGGGCCTAGTTTCCAAGTGAGAGACAAGCTTTAAATGTTATGATCTGATGGCATGCAGAATAAAATAGCCCTAAAGTGCACAGAACCTCGAGGCCGAGCTGTGAGGCTAGCAGAGATGCAGTCAGGGAAGTTCCTAGTTTCCTCCTCCTTTTGCTTCGGATTCCTAAAGCCGTGGATCCCCTTACATGGCTTGAGGTTCTTATTTTCTTTGAAATAAAGTGACAGAAACCAGGAGAAAATACTTTGTGAGTGCCCTTAAGGATCCAATCTGACCTCTTATTTTTTAACTGAAAGGGTTAAACCTGTGATTTCTATACTTTCTGGAGTTTTGGATAGGTTACATGGTTCTACCTGGTATCAAAGGAGCTAAACCCAAACAGGTTTTTCTTTTTTTTAAATATATTTTTATTGATTTTTTACAGAGAGGAAGGGAGAAGGATGATTTGTGACTTTGAGCATGTTTTTATTGTCTCTTGGCCTTCCTGTGTCTTCTTTCAAAAAGTATCTATTTAGGTCCATTGCCCTTTTTTTGATTGGATTATTTATCTTCCTTTTGTTAAGTTGTATGAGTACCCTGTATATGTTGGAGATTAAACCTTTATCGGTGATAACATTGGCAAATATGTTCTCCCATGCAGTGGGCTTTCTTGTTGTTTTGTTGATGGTTTCTTTTGCTGCACAAAAGCTTTCTATTTTGATGTAGTCCCATTTGTTTATTTTCTAATCATTCGAGACATGCAAATCAAAACAACAATGTGGTACCATCTCACACCTGACAGAATGGCTATCATCAACAAATCAACAAACAACAAGTGCTGGTGAGGATGTGGAGAAAAAGGAACCCTCATGCAATGCTGGTGCAGCCACTGTAGAAAACAGTATGGAGTTTCCTCAAAAAAACTAAAAATGGAACTCCCATTTAACCCAGAGATCCTACTTCTAGGAATATAGCCCAAGAAACTAGGAACACCAATTAGAAAGGATATATGCACTCCTATGTTCATAGCAGCACAATTTACAATAGCTAAGATGTGGTAACAGCCTAAGTGTCCATCAGCAGATGAGTGGATTAAAAAAACTGTGGTACATCTACACAATGGAATACTATGCTGCGTTAAAAAAGAAGAAATTCTTACCATTTGCAACAGCATGGATGGAATTAGAGAGCATTATGCTAAGTGAAGTGAGCTAGCCAGAGAAAGATAAATGATGAACAAAAACAGATCCAGAGACAGAGGAGCATCGATCAGATCTCAAACCTCAGAGGGAAAGTAGGGGAGGGTGGAGGTAAGGGGAAAGATCAACCAAAGGATTTGTGTGCATGCATATAAGCATAACCAGTGTACACAGACACCAGGAGGATGAGGGCATGAGTGGGGGTGGGGTGAGGCAATGGGGGAGATAAGGACACGTATGTAATACCTTAATAAATTAAAAATTAAAAATAAATAAAGGAATCTAATCGGTCAAATTAAGAGAATTGACAGGGAACAAGTTCATTATCTTGAAAACTGGATAAATAAAAGAAAAAAATTAAGCATTTATCCTGTCCTTTCTGTATCATGAGGTAACCATATAGTAAGTAAGAGGAAGCATCTCTTTATGAAATTATTCCAGCTTATAAATAGAAACAAAATGATAGGATAGTATAATTCTGTCTCCAGTTGATCTAGGCATAGAGGATTAACATAAAAA